GGCAGCAGATGATGCCAAGTGAGCACAGGGATCTGAATACTAAGGGCTGGGTTAATAAACACACCAGCACAGAGAGAATGCATAGTGTAATTGCTGTGCAATAAGTGGGTGTAATCTGCTCCCCAGATCTGTCCTGCCCCATAACAGGAACCTCTGCCAGGCTGCTACCGAATTGCAGGAGCTGCTGTCTATATTGTTGCAGGAAGGTTATGAAGATAAAATCTGCGACTTTACGGCAAATCAAAGGGGGAAATATTGTTCCCCGAGACACGACTTTGAGCTCCTACTAGACCAGCAGCTCCGGCCCTTCCTGGTGTGCAGTCAGACCTCCGAGGAAACACTGGACTTCAGCTGTTATTTCGAAAGCCAGGAGATGGGCCAGGCAGTGCAGCGCAGCATGCCTCTGGTGGCCCTTCCGTGTTGAAGCAGGTGCTGCCATGATAGAGTGGGAGCCAAAGCCTTTAAGCCCTAGAAGGTTGAGCAATCTCCGCACGGCCAAGTCTCAAAGCCATTTCCTGACTGAAAACACAGTCCCCCCGTACAGGCTGAACCTCTCTTAACCGGGACTCGCTGGCCTGGCAACATCCCTGGTGTTCCAGGACCAGTGAGTCCCATGGAGGGCTAGTGGCTGGGTGCCCTGCATCAGTGAAATTAGAAGCCCAACCGCAGGGCTGCTTGGTGATGGGACCGGGAACCCGGGAGTGGGGCTTCCCGTGGTGCAGCAAAGAGCCGGGCAGCCCTGCTGGAGCTGCCTAGTGAGGCTGGGAGGCAGCAGGGCTGACCAGTGAGGCTGAAGCCCAAGCGAGGCTGTCACCCAGCGGCACAATTGGGCCCCAGCAAGGGGGCTGCCCCACGGGAGACTGGCAGTGGGGCTGTGCATGCGGTGGCAGGGCTGCCACGGTGAGGCCAGGAGCCCTGTGCGCGGAGGGGCCGGCAGCAGGGGGAAGTTGGCTGGGAGGTTGGCAGCAAGGCCGTGGCTGTGGCAGTGGGAGTCCAGAAATGACCTTCCCTGGTCCGACAAAATCCCTCAGTCCCGAGGGCGGTCCCACCTGTTTTAGCCGCCTTGGCTGGTGGGCTTTGCGGGACCCTCCATAATCCGAGAAGTGCAAAGGGCCACTTAGCCAAGGGTGGACCCAGCAGCAGCGAGCTGGCCACCAAGCCCACTTGCTGTTCCAGAGACAGCCCTCCAGAGGGCAGCCAATTCCAGAGAAAAAACCTCCGGGGAGGAATCCAAGGCTCCCTTTCCAAAGCAGGCAGGAGCTCTACATCCAAGAGGCACCTGCTCCAGGCCCTTCTGCATTCCAGCCAGGCTCTGCGCCGGCCCCCTGCTGGACAGGTGCAGCGCCTTGGATGCCAACGGGGGCTACACGCACACAGCCCAGAGCGGAGTTTAGCCTGTGACGCGTCACTAGGCTCTCCCAGGGCTTCATGTGGATTTTGGCCTTCGCAGCCCGGGTCGCCATTTTCGGCTTCAAAATTCGATTTCGGCCATCGTGTCCGAGGGGGGCGTTTTTGGGCTCTGGATGTGGATTTTGGCCTCCGCAGCCCAGGTCACCGTTTCCGGCATCAAATGTTGATTTCGGCCATCGCGGCCCGGTGGGTAGTTTTCGGGCTCCGGACGTGGATTTTGCCTCCACAACCCGGGTCGCAATTTTCGCTCCGAAATTCGATTTCGGCCATCGCGCAGAGGGCAGCAGGGGGGACACTCCTGCCAAGACCTGGCAGTGAAGGGAGGGTTTTGGGAGCGGAGCAAATGAGTGGCTTTTGCCTAACCTGTTCCTGGCTGCGACACTGAGACATCCCAATGAAACACAGCTGAAGACACGTCTTCGCAGGTGCAGCATTCCAGGCTGAGGCCAATGCAAGGAAGCACCCTATAGATTAGTGGTTCTCAAAGTGGGGTCCACAACTGTCTTGCCAGTAGGGTCAAGGCTTGCCCACCCCTTGCTGGTGCTCCAGCCCTGTGCCGCCCCCGTGAGGTTGGAGTGCCAGTACCAGACTCCCCCTACACAGGGAGGAGGAAGCCTCGCAGGCTGCATCTGGCTTCCGGGGTAAGGAAATGGCTCCATGCGCTGCCGTGCCCCCTCTTCCCAGCTGGGGGAATGGCAGCACAGGAAACCGCTCACCTGGAGGCTTTCCCTGCTGCTCCCATTGGTTGGAATCACAGCCAATGGGAGCAGTGGGGGACAGTGCCTGAGAGTGGCAGGAGGCATGGGAGTTGGGTAAGCCCTCTTCCCATCCCACCCAGAGCTCTCCACCCTTATCCCACTCCTGCACCCATTTTGTCACTATGGGTGGTTGGCTGGTGGTCCATGGAAAGGTCTGCATTGAATGGGGTGGGCCATGGGCCAAAAAGTTTGAGAATCACTAGTATAGACCTATGGGCTGTGTTTCTCCAGCTACCTCCCAAGACACCTCCAGAACCCAGAGGCTCTTCAGTGGAAGCAAAGGCTCAGTGAGGGCCGTGTGGGTCATTGATGGGGCAGCGGACTGGGGGGAGTGCTGGCAGGCCCCAAGAAACATCAGTCGGTGAATGCAACCAGCAGAACAGCAAAGACCTGCCTGCAGTTTGTTGCTGCAGGTTTAGGGACCTCAAGACAACTGTAACACACTCTCCTCCACCCCATATTCAGCCTCCTCCTCAGTGTTAAGATGGAGCTTAGCATGTTTACCTCCTGCCTCGCTGACTTAGCTGAGAGCAGTGGCTGGAAAGCAAAGAGTCAGTGCTGCTAGTGTAACCCACAGCTTAGTGTGCTACTTGTTCCCCTCAGGGTTGTGTCGCAGGCTGGACAGCGTCAGCAAGTTTTAGCCTGCAACTCAAATCACAGAGACACGTCTCTGGCTCTGGCAGGCCTCTTTCTATCAGCCTCTGCTCCAAGTCCCTCTGGAGTTTTGCCAGCTGCTGTCTTTGCAAGGAGAGAAGTATGCTCCTGCCGCGTAGGATGCAGCATGTTAACACAAGTGTTGCTGCTCCGGGAATACCCCTCACGCAGCTCAGCAAATAGCCCACAGGAGGAGAGCAGCTCGCAATGCCAGGAGTTTCCAGAGTGCTCTTTTACCTCACAGTAGCCACCTCCTTGCACAATGGGCTGACCTGGGCAAAGAAGTTGGTTTGGGATCAATCTGGGCCCTAAGGCCTTGTTGGCACCCAGCAGAAAATGTCTCCTTACCTCGAACTCACTAACATGAGGTCAAACCCTCAGGAGGACATGGAGGTTTGCAGTTTTCACCTGAGCAGGCAGGCTCCCTTGCATTTGCACTCCTAGCGTTCACTCACCCCAAGTCAAGCTAAGGCCTGAGCACATCTCACAAAACCATCCCTGCACCTTGTACTGCACTGCAGCTGATTGAAGTGAATCCAGGGCAGGTTTGCACCTTAATGAGGTGTTAACTCATTCCCAGGCAGGTGCATATAAATAAGGAACATTGGCCTTATAGGAATGAATGAGTAGAGGAGAGTGGTGTAGGACTTGGAAGTGTCCTTTATTCAGTATGACTCTTGGGGTTTTTCTAGCAATTTCAGGAGCTAGACTCTCTTTTAGAAACAGTCTGCAGGGAAAAGCCATGAGGCAGAGAGGGCAGATCAGTTGTTTACCATGTCAGACATGGGCCTTTGTAGGAAGGCCTTCCAGCAAAGGGCAAGTCTTTCCTTTGAGCTCCTCTCCTGCAGAGCCACAGTCAGGCCTTGTCTGAGTGGAGAAGACAGCAGATACAAATAATAGTTCAGGGCTCTCAGCTTCTTCACCTATTACTGCCTTCTACTTTCAGTGGCCAAAAGCTAAAGACTGTGGTGGCCTGCTAATTTGCCTTCATGTAAGGCTGGGAGATGGGCTACTCTGTGTGTCATAGCATAAGCAGCGTTCTGGTTTAAAGGCACTAATCTAGCCTCCGAGGGGATGAAATAAAGGGCAAAAGACTCAGTGGTTTATCACGATTCAGGGTATTAGCAGGGAAGCAAATTATGGCACTTCCTAGTGTTGTGGTGCTTGGGCAGCTCTTGCCTGCTTAAATTTGAAATGGTTGCTCTTCGCTTGAGAGAGGCAGATCTTGGCTGAGGTCTGAAAAAGTTTGGTTCTTATGCTTTGATGGTAGAGTCAGGATACCTGGTAACAGAATCAGATGTCGGTAGGGGATGTTGCTTCCTGAATCCCAACAAGTCAGTAAGAGTGTGTCTAGACTAAAGGGATTTTTTGAAAAAAAAGTGGTCTTTTTTTCCAAAAAATCTTTACCTGCATCTAGGCTGCCGGCTGTTCTTTCAAAAGTAAATCGAAAATGCGGCAGTAATGCAAACTGTGCTTTTTCAAAAGAGAACATCCAAAGTGCCTGGGTGCTCTCTTTGGAAAAAATGGCTTGCTTTTTCCAAGTACTGGTTGGAGTCTAGGTGCTCTTTTTCAAAAGTGTCTTGCAGTCTAGACGTACCCTAGGTCATGGCCTGACAAGCATAATAAGGCTTTATATATATTTCTCATCAAATGGTCTTCATCCTAGCTGTAACTGTGGATGTTTTCATAATCCATATCAATGTTTAATTCTTTCCTTGCCCTAATGGAATCTGGTGGAAGTGAGTTCCACAGGTTAATTATGCATGATAAAAATTTGCCGTTTTGAATCCAGCCAGTAGAGGGCAAAATCTGCTCCCAGTGGGCCATCAGCAAGGTTTGAACCTAGGAGGCCCTACTTACAGCATTAAAACATAAACCTTTTAACTCTCTCCTAGTATGCTACACGCGCATGTGCGCGCCAGTTCATTACAATACCATAGACTGGGGAGTCTCAACCTGGCAGGCTGCAGTCATCTTGAGTTTCCTATGTTGCCAAATGGGAGGAGAATCCCAGCTCGACAGGGAGGTTGCTGCAGATGGGTCATGGCAAGGAAAAGGGGGGGTTGGTTTGCTATAGAGTGAGAACATTTCACAAAAAAAATAGGAGCTTGTCAGGGAATTCTCGCATCTCTCTTATTTTCTTTCCCGATTAGAATCAAACACAACACAAGGCGGTTGTCAAAAAAAAAAGAGAAGAGAACCTTTACTTGCATTTTCATCAATAAATAATTTACAGTATGTACATGCAGTGACACCCTACAGGGTCCAAAACACAAAGAGCAGTCAGGAGATTCTCTCCCTCCCCAAAACCAAAATCTTTTTTTTTTTTTTTATTCCAACCACATCAGGTCTTCCTTGGCCACACTTCACCTTTAACTTGAACTGGGTCACACACAACCAAAATAAAGTGCTTAACTGTTAGCTTCTAAAAGAGGGATAACCCAACCACCGTAATACATTCAACCACCACTGGAGCACTGACCTACTAGGGAAGGCCTGGGCTGTGCAGAGACAATCAAGATCACAGAGGACTTCCTTCCTCCAGAGGGTAGCTCTGACCACAACATCGCACGCTTTCTTATGCTGCCACGACAGGAAGTAGCACTATGACAGCAGATGGCGCATGGTTATTATGAACTATGCTGATTGGCTAACAGCAATGCCAGTCTCTGCCTAGCCATGTACTCCTGTCCTGATAGCAGCTCCACGTCCCAAGCCTAGGTATATCTGGGATTATTAGTGGGTTACCCAGGTGTGGGGCCCCACCAAGCTGATAATGACTTTCAATATTCACCTCTCCAGTTTCTAGGGGTAATAAAGTTTAGATTTTCATGTAGTGAAGGAGCTAAGGGGACTGAATGACTCTGGCCTTGGTAGTTGCATAGAAGCCTGATGAACTCCCTCCCAGCTGCTAGCTACCAAACACGCTAAGGGAATGTATTACCCCAAGGACAGGTATGCACAGGATTAGCAATGGAAAGTTCATGAGACTTGTGCTCACCCAGCAAGGTGAGCTCTTAAACTTGGCGGAAACAAACCTCTGGTCATACTATATGGGCAGAATCAAACCCACCTGGGAAACGGGCTGTTCATAGCCACTAAAGGAGCCTTAAAGGAGGCAACATAATCTAGTCAATTGGACTGGGACAAAGGAGACCTGGGCTCTGTGATCCTGGAAAAGTAATGTCACCAACTGTGCCTCAGTTTCCCCTCTCTTCCTTGTCTAGATTGTAAATTCTTTGGGGCAACAACTGTCTCTCACCAGGTGCCAATGCAGCTCTTAGCAGAATGGGGTCCTGATCTCCACTCGGACATCTAGGCTACTTTAATGCAAATACAGATCATTTAGAATATCTCCATTATTTCCTTTTCGAGCTGCCCTCCAAGAGCTCTGTGGCCAGCAAATTGATTGATTTACCATCCCGTGGTTGGTCTCCCCAGCTCCCTACATTGTGAGATCCCTATTTTAAAATCGCCCTAAACAGAAACACGGGCCACCAGCAGACAAAGCAAGGAGCAAAGTAGTAAACACATCTTTCTGTTACGTCTCTTCTGTTTTTCGTTAAACACCTAAAAACCAATTACATCTCTTCATCTGTACAGTCACACGAGATCAACGCCAGGGCTCCATATATTAGAGAGACAATATAAATTACACCCAATGACACATGTTGCATTTCTCTGCTGCTTTACAAACGGAGTTCTACAGCTGGCGGGACACAAAGAATAGTTGCTCGAGTATTTACAGGCGGCTGCCACGTGGCACTAGTTTGTACGTGCTGCAGGGTGCGTCACATTCCCATTTCTCTATGGAGTCAAGAGACCATGCTTAATTGCTGATTGTCCTAGTGATCTACCTGTGCCTCTGGGGAGAACTCTGGGAAACTCCAACTGGGGGAACAATGGGGGATTCCCCCAGAGGTCTCTCAGTTCCAAGCCAAAGTGCAAATGGTCTTGTGATATGTGAGCAAAGCACCAGGCAAATCCCAGAAGAACGTGGAGAAGAGGAAGCGGCACTGCCTCTCAGATGGCAGAGTAGATTATCAATTGCTTTGCTGGGATTCGTTAGGGCCTGCCCCCAGCTGGATTTTCAAACAGCCCTCCTCAGAATCAAGCCAGGAAGAGCTAAGGTGCAATTGGCCTGAAGTGAGATCACTAGGGGAGAAGTGGGGGTTAGCAGCAAACAAGCAAAACTCCCCCCACTTCAGGGGCTCTGCTGTTGTCAGAGCTTTGCCCTGGCTTTACTGACCCACAGCCACCCTCCAGAGGGTGAAAAGGGACAGGGCTAGAGGGGGGACACTCCAGCTGCCAGTACAGGGCTTGAGGAGGTCTGATCAGTCACTTCACAGTACGAATCTGGGAGATCGCTGACACCTCCCCACTCACTCTGCCTGAGTGTCCTAAGAGCTAATGGGAACAAGGGGCCACGTCACAAGGAGCCCTTCAACTACTGGGAGGAGGCTGCTGGCAAATGTCAGAAACTGCTCAAATCCTGGCCAGGTTTCTCTCTTTGCCTCTCTGAGGGGAGGGGCCAGAGAAGGCCCACAAGGATTCAACCTCGAGGCTATGAAGTGACTCAGAGAGTCTGTGTACCGGGACTGGACTTCCTGGACCCCATTAGCTCCCAGACACCCTCTGAAGCCCAGCAGATGCAATCAGTGAATGACCCGCCCCTGGAAAGTGCTGTTCAGTGAAGGATGAACTGTGCACCTCAGACCCCTGCAGGGAGCTGGATGCTGGGAACAACAGGGCCTTTAGTGATGGACAGAAAACAATTCAGCCAACTGCCTACCTCTGCAGCTTCTCTCGGGGAAGGTGCCTGCCCAGAGCTAAGGGGGGGGGGCACCATTGTAGTTTCTCTATCTGGGTTTAGCCCCCCGCATTTGCAAAGGCCCAGCAGTGAGCAAAGCCCCACTTAGCTGGTTGTACACAGACGCAGGGCCTGCCTGGGCAGCAGTAGGGACCTGAGCACTATAGTCATTTGTGACGTGTGAAAATCAGAGGCCAGCCTGTCTCTTTGTGTCCCACGAGGGTCTCTAGGCATGGGCCACCCTGACCAGCTGGGGCTCTGCCCCCTCCTCCCAGGCAGCAGCAGGCAGCCAACTCCCCCAACACGAAGCCACTTTCACAAATGCCAACATCACAGTCACCACAACCGTTTGCAGTACCACGAGGGAGCACTAGGGGGAGGGGAGGGCATTCCACCGTCCTCACCCACGGGAAGAGGAGAAGAGTTACATGAGGTATGGTCCAGCAGAAACCGATGGCTGCTATCTGGGGCAGGCCCATGACATTCCAGAGGGCCTAATTCAAGGGGCTGAGATGCCGGGATGACTCTTTAGCTCCCAGCCAGACCTGCTGTTCAACTTCTCCTCATCCAGCACAGACCATCGTCCCCTTCTGTGGACCCCTTCCTCCCCCACCGAGGTCCCATCTATAGAAACACTGACCAGCACTGACTCAGACACACCAGCGCCACCCAGAGGGCAGGAAGGGCCCAGGGATGGCCCGAGGGGGCTGCATTGCCTGGGCCCAGCTCCCGTGTCCTTTCATAGAGGTGCAGCTTGTCCTTGTTGGAATGAAGCATCTTCACATCTTCGAAGGCGTAATAAGCAGCCAGCGTGAAGTTGACGTCCCCTGTGGTCAGGAGGTCAAAGACGCAGGATTGGAAGTACAGGTCCTCCACGGGGAGCTTCTCCCGGCACTTGGCCATGGCTGTTTCATAGGTGAAGAACTCAGGGAAGGGGACGAGGCTGGACCCCTTCCTGCGAGCCCGGCCTTCTGTGGCCTGACCAGAGCGGAAGGTATGGAAGTCAATCTGTTGGTTAAGTGGGCAGCCCCGGAGGCAGAGGTAAAGGCCCTGGTTGTCCCTGTCCTCCACGGCGTTCACTACCTCCTCAGGCATGCGCACGGCAAAGGTGAGGTAGCGGCCCACCTGCCTCACCACAATGGTGGTGCCGATGTACTTGGCTTGGATCTCAATATGCTGGCCAGACACCTTCTCGGTGATCTTCAAACTGTTGGCACCATGCTTGTCGCCGCCGTTCTTGGAGCCATCGGCGAAGGCGGCCGGAAGCTCGTCCATCTCCGCCTGGTACACTTTCTGGTCCACACACTCCTGGAAGCTCTTGAAGATGATGGTAAGCTGTGAGGGGTGAGGGAGGAGAGAGAAGGGGGCATTAACCAACACTGATAAACCTGCTGGGCTCAGTCATCAGTACATGTCATTAATGAACACCAGGCCTGAGTGGTTCATTCTTCAACAACCGCCACGTGCCTCCAGAAGCGGTTTGGAGAGTCCGTCTTTGGAGGCACTTTAAATGTGGGCCTCAGTCCACCAACACAGAGTTCCCACTACCAGTTCTCCCCATTTTATGCACAAAGCCACCAGGCTTCAGCCTACAGGCGGGTGCATCAAAGGGTGCAAATCAGCTACACATCAGAAGGAACCAGAGACAGGACTAGAATCCAAAGGCAGAGATGTCCTGTCCGTACCATACTTGGCCCCCGGCTTTAGGGGACGCTGGGACCAGGACAGCCTGGGGGTTCAGTGGGGAGCCTGGTGCCGGCAGCAGCGAATGACCCGGCCCCAGCTTGCTCTGCTCCACCAGCTCCTGGCATTGCTGGTGCCAACAGTCTGAAGATCACCAAGAAGCCAGAAAGAGTTAGGTCAAGGGTCTGCAGGAAAGGGTGGAATGGGTTGAGATGGGCCAGAGCAGGGGCAGGTAGAAGTGGAGTGGGGTAGGCAGCAGGGTTTCCTGGGCCCTGCAACTCCTACGGACAGCCCTGCCCAAAGGTCATGCTGCCATATCCCACAGAAGTTACCTGTTGGAGCAGAGCTGTGATTATGAGACTTGAAACCCCATGGGGAGGGAGAGGAGAGACCACTGATTAGCCCCAGCTAACACGCATCATGTCCCTAAGTCTCTGTAAATTGTTCTTCACACTTAGCTTCTACTTCTCTTCAATTCGCTGCAAGCCCCTCTGACATTAAGCTTCTTGCGGTATGACCACAGAAAGGAACAAGGACTTGCTCAAGATATGCAGCAAGATGGTGCAGAGACCTCTCCTCCTGACTCCCCCCCCCCACTGTTCCTGGCTCCCAGGTCTGTGCTCAGTCTGCCCCCCTCTCTCTAGCTGGGATTTCCTTGTCAGGCTACTGCACATTTTAATCCCTCCTGGGTTTATACAGACTCTGTTTATTGGGGATGAGTCTGAACTAAACTCCTCTCAAAAACTTTAGGGAAGTTCCAATCTGGATCTAAAATACACAGCTGACAAGCAGACTCCTGGGATTACTGGGGCCTTTGGCTCCATCCTGCTATTTGTTTACATTGCTTTTGGAACAAACACCAGGTTCAAATGGCTCCCAACAGGGCTCTGGTATTTCCCTTGACTCTCTCCATCGGGGAGGTCTGCCCCAGCCATTCTGCTCCAGATTTTCCTTTGCTGCTCCCCACTGGGTACAGCAATAGGGGAGCTGCAGCGTAGATCAGTGTCCAACCCTGCTCAAAGTAGGTTTATACAACACAGTGCTTAAAATCCCCCCAGCCTCCAGAAGCCCTGTGTACGCACCAGGGTTCCCAAAATAGTGGTGGAACCAAACTGGGGGGAGTGGAAACAGTAAGGGAATTCTAGGTAATACTTCCTAGCACAGCCGAGGCTACTCACAAAGTGCCAGCCTGTTAGGGCAGCAACACGGTTTCCTTTTCTTTGCCCCTGTAGAAGCTTCTCCTAGGGTGCGTCTACACTGCAGCGTTTTTCCGGGAAAATAGCCGTTTTTCCGGAAAAACAATACTTGCGTCCATACTGCCATTGAGTTCTTTCGACAGAAAGTCGAAAGAATGGAGGGATTTTTCCAACTGAGGTAAACCTCATTCTACGAGGCAGAAGCTTTTTTCTGGAGAAGCTTTTTTTGGAAAGAGGCATGTGTGGAAGCTCTTTTGAAAAAGCACATCACTTTTTCATTGTGCTTTTGCTGTGTGGATGATCTCTTATGAAATAAGCTTTTCCAGAAGATCTCTTCCAGAAAAGCTTCTTCCGAAAGAAGCTTAAACTCTAGACATAGCCTCACTCTACCTTTTTGGCTGTGCTTTTTCTCTTCCGGAAAAGCTTCTTCCGAAAGAAGCCTGCAGTCTAGAAGTAGCCCTAGTCTGCAAGGTTTAACTGGAGTTAAAAGGTGTGTCCTTGCTTTCCTCCCCAGATGTTTCTATTCCAGCTTTCAGGTTTTGGCAGATACACCCCAGTTTACTGGAGGTTGTATCCTCTCGCTGAGAGCTCCCTGCTCCAGTGAACAGCACCAAAGCGGAAGCCTGGATGTACACAGACACCATCCACCTTGGAGCCAACCTGCGGCAGAAGGGTTGCCTGTTCCAGCAGCTCTGCGGGCTGGGTAAACTTGCTGAGTCGCCACACTGAGCGATGACTCATCACTTCTCAGCACCACTTCCAAGGATAACATGGTGCAGAGCCCCAAGTCAGTTCTTGGATGCAAAGGCCCCAGCAAGTTGCGTGCCAACCCTCACAGAAACTGTGATACTTCCCACCCCAACCAGAGATGGCGGCAAACCCCTGTCCTCGGTCACTCTGGGAGTATCTTGACAAGGATCTGTGCTCCCCACAGGCCTGAAAAGCAGCTGGCTTATCACCAGCCATCCCTGCCCTTCCTCTGGATCAGGGGAGCTGAAATGTGCTTCCTGTCAGCTTCAGCGCTCATGCAGCAAAGAGAAATTCAGCAGCAGCATCCCTCAGCTCAAAATCCTTCCTCAAGCAGAAGCCAGATTTAACACTTAGGATGCGTCACTTTGAGTTCCATTGTGCTACAACTGGGCATTTGCCACTGCGTTTACTCAGCGCTGCCCCCGGTCCCTGGAGAGTATTTATCTTGGCTGCCATAGCACTGCGAGAACAGACTGCGCCCCACAAAATGCCTTGTCCTGGCTGTGAACCACAGACACAATTACTAGCTAAAGCAGCTGGGAAGCCAACACTAGAAACCCAGCACTTCGGCTCCAAACCACAGGCTTTCCCATGTGAACGAATGCTCTCCCTTATCCAGACCTCCGGCATGCTGGGTGACTTAGCCTCTCATGGGCCCAGCCACCTGCGGGCATCACCACACACACACAAACCCAGAGCAGGATGGAGACAGTGACAAGGGAACATGATCCCTGAGGTTCTCTCACCTCTGGCATTAAAACCATGGCTAGTTGTGAGCGGGTGGCTGGATGAGGGTTGGGAGTCTAGCTGGGGCTAGATGGATCAAGCAGCTTGGGCAAGGAGCCTTTCATCTTAAGGTGACTGGTTCAAATCAAATGCTGGTGAGCAGAGAACAACACAGGTGAGGGCCCTACATGTGTGTGTCCAGTTCCTATCACAGCCGGCGCTCGTTCGCTCCCTCCATGGCAGAGGCCAAGTTCAAATCTGGTCTTGAATACTGAACTACTCGCTCTCCTCCCCAGACGGTGCCTACCCCTCAGGCTTTGGGGCAGTGCAGAGAGATTTCCCACACACATCCTACTCTGGAAATGAGGAGAGGGCTTCTCGCGTCAGCACTGTCAGCCTGGCACTACAGTGACTTCAACATAGCCGAGGAAGCCACTCATATTCAAGGACTAATTACCCCCGCACTTGGTGGGGAGGGCGGGGGTCTCTGCAGAGACTTCAACAGCAGCATCGTTCTTCTGCAACCACCAAACTGCTTCTCCCCCACCTCTTGCTGCCAGTAACTAGTCGAGTAGTGACTCCTGCCCGATAAGCCTAGGCGTATCGAGTAGTCGACTACTTGACTAATCACTTACATCCCTAATCTGGAGCAGGGTGAACTCACTTCCTTGCCAAGAGCCCCCCACAGCAACTAGAGGCAGGGGGAGCCGGAGCTGCTGCTGGGGGGGGAGCCAGCTTAAAAGCCAGTACCTGTCCCCCCAGCACCGTCTCGGAGGTGGGAGAGGCAAGGGGACAGAGGTGCAGCATCTGGGACCGGGTGCAAGCCAGAATTCAGATGTCCCAGCTCGCGCCCAGTACCCCGCGGTGTCTCTGACTTCTAAATGTAATAAGAGCTGGGCAGCTCTTACATTTAAAAGGCAGAGCCGCAGTGGGGTTATTTCCCGGGGCTGGGCACTAATCCTGCTGTGGCTCTGCAGTTTCCCCCCTTATCAACTAATCGAGTAGTCGATGGAATGTCCAACAACTACTCAATTAGCTGATTAAATGCAGTTTAACATCCTTACTGCAGGCTCCTTCAGCTGCCATCACTGCCACTTTGCACAGGCCACAAAACAGTCAGGAGGGTGGGTTCAGCGAGTTTTACTTGTTGCCAGTGATCTCTGGCACCTTGTCATCCTCCTGCTGTTCCCATCCCTGAACAGGAGGGTCACATTGCCCTGCAAAGGAATCTGGCACAGGGGGCCTGGAACAAAACTGCAATGCTAGGGGAAGGGCAAAAGGAGGAGACATTCGGGTTTCTGGTTTGCCTTTCAGGGGAGCTACCAGCTGTAGATCCCAGCGCCTGCTCCCTTCATGATCTGACCCTTTTTTCACAACATAGACCTACACCAGGGATGATGCATCTCCTCTGAAGACACTCAGCGATCTGAAGGGGACGAGATGCAATGGGAAGAAACCAGAGTCCTAGGGGGGCTAGGGAGTGGGGAACCAAGTGTTTGGGAGAAGAGAGTCTAGGGCAGGGGTGGGCAAGAGGCTGCTAGCGGGCCGGATGCAGCCCGCCAAGCTACCGGACCCAGCCCGCAGCTGCCTTGCTGGGAGCCTTAAGCACAGTGCAGCGGCAGCAGCTTTAAATGTGGCTGCTCTATTCTGGGAGGGAGGAGAGAGGCTTTGTGCTCTCCCCAGCCCCTCCGCAAAATCTCTCAGCTCCCATTGGCCAGTTTCCAACCAATAGCAGCTGAGATATTTTGCTGGTGGCAGGGGCAGCCAATAAAGCCTTGCCTGCCCCCCCCCTCCTCCCCCTTGGTCCCATACACTCCTTCACACTGCTGGGAGCAGAACCGCGTGGAGCAGCTTGGGACTGCAGCCTTCAGGTTCCTGCAGGGCTGCTGACTGGCAGCTTCCTAGGTAAGCATCTCTCAGCCAGAGCCTGCCTCTGGCCCCCCCCTTTCTTTCCCTTCCCCAGGCCACCAATCCAAACTCTCTGTATCCCTTTCCCCCAGGGCACAACTCCCTCCCAGACCCTGCACCCTCTCCTACACCCTTCCCCCACGTCAGAATCCTCTCCTGCACTCATACTCCCTCCCTGACCCTGCATCATCACCCAAACCCTCTGCACGTCCTTCTCCCAGGTCACAACTCCCTCCCAGACCCTGCACCCCCTCCTAGAGCCTCTCCCTCAGGCCAGAATCATCTCCTGCACCCATATCCCCTTCTGGACTTTGCACCCCAACCCGCTGCCCCAGATCACCACTCCTTCCCTTCACAATCTCCTCCTTCACCCAAACTCCCTCTCAGATGCCACACCCCCTCCTGCTCCCAGTCTCCTAGCCCAAGCTCCCTTCTGCACCCAACCTCTGTCCCAGACCCCAAGTCTCCTCAGTAGAAATCTGGCCCTTGACCACTTGCCAAAATCTTGGAGTGCTCCCCCGCCCCATTAAAAATTATTGCCCACTCCTGGTCTAGGGAGAGGGCCTTGATTTTCTGGCGAGGATCCTGTAATTGTGGTGGGCTCAGACTCCATCTCATTTTGCTGGATAACCTGGCGTGAGCAAATGAGATTCAACAGATTTTTGGAACCTTTTGTGAGGCGGTTGGAGAAAAGGGGATTCAAAGGGTCACCCCCAAGGGGGGCAATGTCAGAATGTCGCCATGCCCCGGGGGACAGGCCATGTGCCCCATGCCTTTACCTTGGTCGTTGCCGTTGCCAGGGACCCAGGTAGCACTGGCGTGTTGGTGACCTGGACGTTCAGGTAGTTATTATCTATGAGCGGCCAAGCCCCCTGCACTTTGCAGGTCTGGAAGCTGTCTGTGAAAGTCCTGAGGTGGGGATCCCCAAAGAGCCCACAGTGGGTGTAGTTTGGAGGGGCTGAGTGCTTGTGAAAGCTCTTCTCGTAGTGGCAGATCTCCGGGCTGTCGGAGCGCTCCTGGCTGTCCCCGGGGGGCAGTGTGCGCAGGCGGGGCTGCGAGGTGGGGCCATCTTTGGAGCAGTTGTGTTGGACCATGAGGTCGTCTATGCCATGAACGGCAGAGTGGTAGGCCAGGTCCCCCCTGCAGGTGCGAGCTGTGCGGCGGGTGCAGTGAGCGTAGGTACGGAGAGCTGTGCAGAACTCCGGTGCCTCCTCCGTGCCAAGGTGGTGAGAGCCTGACGTGGCCGCCCAGAACTCAGAGTTACACTTCAGGATCTTGCACTGAGAGGTCACTGCAGGGAAAAAACCAAAGGTGTTAGCAAGATGCCCAATACACAGCTCAAGTACAGCACACCACCACAATGCCACCTCTGCTGGTGAGGCACAGCTGTGGCAGCTGGGTAGCTACACACACCTCACTACCAATAGGACAAGGCAAGAAGTGAAGAAGAACCCAGTCCCCAGATGACTCCTAACGGGGAAAATTAAGGCGGACTGACAGAAATGCAGGGCTGGAAGGGACATTCAGAGATCAAATCCAGCCCCTATTCTGAGGAAAGACCAGATAAACCTAGATTATCCTTGGCAAGTGTTTGTCCAATTGCTTTTTAAAAACCTCTGAGGCAGAGATTCCACGGTCTCCCCTGGAGGCCTAGTCCAGCTCAGCCGCTCTTAGAAAGGTCTTCCAATATCTGACCTAAATCTAGATTAAGCCCATTGCTTGTGGTCCTGCCTTCAGTGGGTGTGGAGAACAACAGATCAGTCTTTCTATAAGAGCCCTCAGCATATCTGAAGACTCTCTATGTTGGCTGGGATGCTGAGAACAGCTTAACATCATTCATTTGGGAGAAGGGGGGGGGGGGAGGAATACCATTGAGCCTTTAACATCAAGAGGCTTTTAGGGCCTGGCATTCAAAAATATGCCTGGGCAATGGTGAATCCAAAATGGTGTGCACAATGGTGCCAGAGATTTGCATTTTTCCAGGCCCAAAGCAGGTGTCTATGCACAGTGGGCTACCTAGATGAATAAGTGGTCTCCTTATGCAGCTGATTTGTGTACAGAGGCATTGGCTCTGTGGGGCTTCACACACAGCAGTGGGCCTGTGTGTGGACACTGGGGTAAAATCAGGTCCTTAGCAGTCGTAAGGGGGAAAGCCCTGGTTTTACACCCACCCGCACTCAGGCAAAGTAAGGAACTGAAGTAGGGAAGCAACAGCAGTGCAACCTCTTCAAGTGCCAACAAGCCCTGAACACCCCTCGCCCAATAGGTAAAGACATAAGACCAAGATTCTTAGCATTAGGTTTGATTTCAAGGGGCGGTTCAATTTGTTCACACTCTGTGGGCTGCCTGACACCCCCCCTTCACCACCACTATATTGTGCTGCTCTCACACATTCCCCAATCCCTGCACCCCTGTGGTGAGTCTCCTGTCCTGCACTAAACTCTCTTGAAGTTCAAATGCCTGGTTCCTCCAGGGTCAGCAATGCGCTCAAACCAGACAACTGGGCAGCTGTCTGGGGAGCCTAAAAGGCAGAACGCTGCAGAGGAAATGCAGTGCAAAGGAGGAACAAAGTACAAAGGAGCCTTCTCAAGAAGCTATCGATCGCCTGATCTCCTGTAGCTAGAACCTTGACACATTGCCCATTCCAGCGGCTCCATTAATGCTGAGAGCAGTGCCTGCCGACCTCTGGCCCCTTTGCCCCTGCCTCAGTGCTGTTCTAAAGCTGCAGAGATATGGGCATCAAAGGGAAACGTGTGAAAGGAAACAGGCAGAATCTCAATCAGCTTCTGGCGTGGCCTGTGTAGAAAACAGTTCAGCTTGGACAAGCTACTGGAGCAGCCTTCGTATCTAACCAGCAAGCCTCTGGCTCCCAGGTCAGTGCAACCATAAGAGCAGCCTTCATATCCAACCAGAAAACCTCTGGCTCCCAGGTCAGTGCAACCATAGGGGCTACACACATGGAAGGCCCTCTACCAACTCTGACTTATGCAGCTGAGCACTCAGAGCAGTGCCAGATGCCCACAAGTCTAGGCGCAAGCAGGGAAAGCCACATACAATGAGCGTTAGATTTAGTTCTTTCAGAGGAACATATTTTCCGCAGAGGGATGTGGCTCCCCTGGAGCAGGACACGGAAGTGACTTCGCAAAGTTCTAGACACAGGGCCTGCCCTGCACATCACACAGCTAGCGCGCCGGCAATGGCAATTTGGAACCTCTCATTGCTCACAGTGCTTAAATATTCATGGTGTTTTCCTTCCCCTCCTCCTAATCAGTCCCCTTGGGAGCACATGGAAACTGTGCAGGATCAGGCCCCAAAGACGGAATTAAAAACAACATTGCAGATGCTTTCTGGGGTTCTCGTGCATATGCCTGTCCTTAGCTGTATTGAGAGAGCAGTTTGCGAGGCAGTTACACGTACACAAATGAAGCTACACAACCCAGCACCACTTCTTACCAAAGACTATGGTCAAGTTTTAACTATCTGCTGGCAGTGATGGAAACACAACAGGTGCCGGAGAATGGACGGGGAACAGGACTATAAATCAGAAAGGACTCTGCATGAAAGCCTCCAGCTCCTGTCACTTTCCAACAGGAATGTGAAAGTGTAACCATGTATGTGGTTAATTGATCGGTTAACATTCACAGTTACACACAGATTCCTGGTACACCTGGGGAGCTGGTGTAAAAGCTGGCTCCCTGCCCATGCCGTCTCCCAAGGAGCTGCCCACCGCCCCGCCTCTGAATTTTGTCAGCGGTTACACGGTTACTTAATTAACTCCATTTTAACATCCCTACTTTCCAAGAGGAATGAAATGCAAAAGAAAATGGTGGAAAGTTTCTGAGTTTAAAAAATCCAGAATTAACAAGCATGGTTGCCAGTAATAACAGAACCTCATTTGATTTCACACCAAACTTATGAACCATTTTTCCTGACCAGGTAGAGGAAGGGGGTTAGTCATGATGACAGTGATGGCAATGAAGAACAAGTCAATTTCCTTTCACATTCTGATCTTTCAATGCACTGGAAATAATTTTGAAGGGATTGGCAGGACAAGAGGAAAGCAATGAAGTGCACTAGATAGCAACTTAGGAGCTGGATCTACTGAAATTTGAAGATTTGAAATTTTATGAACTTTTTATTCCATTAACTCCTTAATTCCCGGTTAGTTTGTGACATGGGTGCTCTACTGCATAGGATCATTTTTACTTCACCAATGTCCACTTCAATCTGGACATATTATTTCACCACTATCCCTTTTCAGTTTATTGCATTTTGTTGGAACATCCACATCATGTAACCATGGGTTTATCACCAGGCCACTGCGTGAATTGCAGAGAAAACCTGTTGTTGTGTGTTTCAGCCAGAAGAGATTCTTCTGTTTGATCATATAATCTCAGTGGTACATACCCCAGGGCCTGGATTTATGACTTCTAGGCCCTAAAAGCCACATGTTAAAATTGTCTGTGATTAAACATGGCGAATGCAACACCATGTGAGGACATGTTACAGGCCTAGCACAAAGATTAGAGGCAGGGAAAGTAAAGAGCGCTCTGGATTTGGGCACGCGACTATAAACAATCAGATTAGCACACAACAGAACACCGCCACCAGCGTGCCAGTCTGTTGTCGTGATGATGCAATCAGACTTTGCTGGCACATGGAATGCGAACAGGCAGCATTTCAAGGTGAGACTTTCAAGGTGTGGGTTGGAATGACAAGTTCAGTGTGAAAGGGTGTCATATAGGGAGATTCCTGCTTCCTTTCTCGGGTGACAAGCCACCCATGCTCAGGATTGTGATGCCACTAAGAATACATCGCTGATCCTATGATAAAAACAGAACCCTATCCAGAGACCCCGCCCCCCACGGTCACCAGTGTTCCCTGTAACCTGTCCACTTGTGCGACTGCTCAGGAGACATTCAAATACCGCTCAGCTGATTAGCAGAATGCTCACAACTAGGTTTTGGGTTTCTACTGGTGGTGCACATTCACACGTGCCTCAGTGCATATACAATGTTATTCCACACATGGATGGTAAAGATTAGAGAGAACATTGATGGTCACCAGCTAAACTGTACATCAGGGGCATTAGGCAATAGGACGTGCAACATACAGTTTAGTAAAAATCCATCAGTAACAGCTGTAGGGCTCAGATACTCATTTATAGGAGTCCAGCAGTTTCCAGGAATAGGGTTCTTTGTGCTGGTCTCTAAGGGGTGCATCTTCCGGCTTGGAACAAGAGCTCCATGCCAAGTTCTGCATTGGCATCTGGGCTCTGATCCAAAGCTGACAGTGCAATAACGAGGCCTCTGCTGCCGCATCACAGGTGCAGTCCTTCTTTTGAGCCATTAACCAGAACTCTCCTCTGCCCATCCCTCACAGCTCTCCCCCTGGGAGTTGAGGCTCTAGTGCACTCACAGCAATAGCCTGAGGACTGCTCTCTCAACACGGCAGGCCTCTAACAGCTCTGGCCATACGCCTGCTATCGCTGAGCACAGGCTGGTTGCACATGGCTGGCGTCTAACTCATTACTTTATAAGGTACTTGAATAAAAGCAAAGAAACAAAAAAGCCAGATTCATTCCTTCCCTTGCCCAGTAGGGGGAGCATTTTTCTTAAAGATCTTATCATTTGGGTTTTGGCAAAACACTTTGATTTGCTGTTTCTGCAGGGCCCCATATAAGGCTAGATTTCCAAAGCCAGGTGCCTAAGGAGCAGGCCTGCACTGCGTGCCTCTGTGTATAAGTACGCATGCAGAAGAAACCCTTTGACACGCAGTTCTCCTATTTACAGGCCTCATGCTGGTTGGGACTCCGTTATGGAAAAGGCAGCTCATCTCGCTCTGGATTTGCACCTGGAGCAAGCCAGGGAGGTGGCCCTTCCTTCCTAATCTCTCCCCTGCCAACAGATAAAGACAGCGGGGTCAATTCCATTTCACAGGGCACTGAATAACCACGGGTCTCAGATAGGCTGTTTGTGGCCTTGTTCTTCTAATCTGTTGGCAAAGCCTCCCTCCCCCACCACCTCCCTATCAGATCTGTTCAATAGTGCGATTGTCTGACACCTCCAGCTCACACAAACACCTGCGTGACTCACCCCACCTCACCCCACCCCCAGCAAGACACGAGTCAGGCCTGAGGAACCCTACAGGCAATGCGCTGGAAGGGAGATGGAGGAGCAAAGAAACCAGAACAAGGCAGGGGAAAAGACAGCGACCCTTCCCGCTCGCCTCCCACCCCCATATGCGTCTCCTCCTGCCTTCTCTGGCAGAGGCTTTGGTATAAAAGCAAAA